AAGAAGTTTCATACCAATAAAATACTTTTAACTATTGTTTTTAGATGTTTTAACTTTACAATGGGTCAATTTGGCCCGCATCATAACATGAGAGTTAAAAGCCCAGCGAGCTTGATGCGAGTTCCGTCTTTTCACAGAGAGTATGTATTTGAGATTTTTGTAATCTGTCCACACTATGACCGGCTGTTTGGCCCCTCCGACCAGTGATGCCACTCCTCCAGAGCAAACCTGAAGGCCAGAAGCTCCTGGTTCCCCACATACAGTACATAACTGCGCTCAAAGTAACAACTTCTTGGGGGAAAAAGGCCCAGGGTTGGAACTTGTTATCATGGGAGGACCACTGAGAAAGAACAGTGCATACCCCTGTATTGGAGGCAGCCACCTCAACCACAAATTGGTGCTGGAGGTTGGGTACAATGAAAGGCAGCATTGGTATCTTTAGTCCAGGTGTAGGGGACGAGGCTGGATGTGTGCTTGTTAAGAGAAACAGACACTGAGCGGTACCTCTGATGAACTGTTTATAAAAATTGGTGAAGCCTAAGAATTGCTAGAGTTGATTCCTGGACTCAGGAACCAACCACTCAGCCACTGCTTTGGTCTTCTCTGGATCCATCTGCACCTGGCCAGCAGAAATGATAAAGCCCACGAAGGAAACTGAGACAGCATGAAAATCAAATTTTTCAGCTTTGACAAATAACTACCCTGACATGGAGAATGTGCTCCTGTTTGTTCCTGGAAAAGATTAGAATGTCATCCAGAAAGACAAAGACAAATTGACTGATCAGATCCCAAAGCACATCGTTGACAAGTGCCTGAAATACTGCTGGAGCATTAGTGAGTCCAAAAGGCATTACCAAATATTCATAATGACCTGTGGGAGTGTTAAATGTGGTTTTACTTCTCTGTCTACATGTTGGTGCAAATGTGCGTGAAATACATCGTCAAGCACCCTCTCAGGCATTAACTGAAACTTTTATTTTTCATGCAAAGAAGCTTCCTCTGTATTCTCTCTGTATCCCTCTGTTTCATATACAGCCTAATCTGTCCTGGAGGATCTCATTTCCCCTTAATTCCTTCTTTGCCCAATTGTTTCATGATGATGACCTTTCATTCCAGATCTTGCCTCATGAATTAAAGGCAGGTAATAAAGAAGGGGCACACAAACAGGTGCGCAAATTAACATCGTAAAAACATACAGTATACAGCTGTACTGTACCGACTGCAGTATATGAATAAAATTTATCATGAATTCAGTGACAGTGTGTGAACCCTGAACAGCTGGCTGATAGCTGACTGACTCATTCACTTTTTGAGGGCCACTGAGTTCAAAGAGCCATTTTGACCTGAAGTAGAACATCCGTTTGATACACTGGCTGTCATTTGCCATCGTCCTTAGTCTTTTCCAGCCTACATATTCTCTTAATATTAACTAAGGGTACAGAACAAGGCTTCATGATGTTCAAGAGGTGTAAGGGCACTGTGAAAGCACTCTGCACAGCTTGTCAAATTACCTACCTAATGGCCAGCTTGTCAGGCTGCCTCCTCTCTGTGGAGAAAGAAAGGACAAGTGGGGGGAGTGAACCATTCTCTTCCTTGTCACAGCAAAATCACTCATTCATCTTTTTATATGGTACCTTTACTTTCTTTTCTTTTAAGTCCTGCTTCTCAAGAACATCCTGCTTATATTCAAATGGCTGTAATGACTTGGTAGTATGAGAGTAGAATGTGAAGAGCGGCCAGCTGTATTGTGGGCCTGTCAACCGTTTGTCTGCACTCTTTTAGAGTTGCTTTAATAGGCTTTCCCATTAAGTCTAGTTAACCATCATTCACCTGAGTCATCAATAAGAGGTCAAAGACTGCATTAATTGTTTCTCCTTAATTGCAAGACTACCTCTTCAAAAGCATAGATTTTTCCATATCTTTTCATAAGTTTTACTGTTAAAAAGTTTTCTGTGTTAAAAAAAAGGTGTCTGCTTGTAAACTGATGGATTCCAACAAGTATATTGCTGCAACAGTGACCTTTCCTACACTTAAATTTGAAAAGACCACCACTACATAAATGCACTCAATGTTCATCAAACTTGAACAACTATTACTGTTGGCTCAACCAGGGAGAGAAGATCTGGAGTGGTAGAAGGTGGCAAGGTGCTGTTGCTTGACAACAAAGGTTAGGCTAGGCTTGTATTTTGCTTGAGTATTTCTATTTTATGCTACTTTGTACTTCTACTACATTTTTCTGGCAACTTTAGCTACTGGTTACATTGCAGGTTCAAATAATTATTATAAAATATATTTAGCAAATTAATTCTGATGGATTATTATAGATCAGGTTACACAGTAGTATAAAAAGTAAATCAGCTCCAAATGGGGCTCCCCAGTAGCTGTGTTGTTTTGGCAGAGAACCATATACAGATGCATGCTGTGTGAACAATATCAGCGGTTAAGGGCCAACCACTGACATTTGTTGCAGGTCTCCATCTTCTCTACCTCAGCCTCCACTGCTTCTTATATAAAAATGAAAGGTAATAATATTAAAAAAAAACAGCTGCAGCATTATAGTGATGCTTATGTATTAATATATTATTCTCAAATAGGCAGTTCTCTATAATGAGCACTTTAAGTATGTTTTGAAAGAGTATTTCTACACTGTGGTGGTGTTACCATTGCTCTTCAGAATGGAACAAATCCTCATTAGCAAATACCTAGATGTTTTGTTGTTGTCTTTATAATTGTTTGTATAAAACAACTGTACTGTAGGCGGTAATGTTATAATAACATTTTTCATAGTAAATCTACATGTTGTCAAACTGCCTGCATAATGAGCTTTAATATACAGTGACCATGGCATCCAGAACTTTTGTCAGTTCAGATAAAACCCCTGAAAACTCTGATATGAGCACATAATGTCCTTTCTTCATTCCTTTTCAAACCACAACAATCATCCCCCTCATCCATCCAGATGAGCCAAAACAAAGTAGGAACGCACTTATTGTTTTCTAAGTCCAATTTCCTTATACTTTTCTATTCCTTTAATGATTCACATCCCAAAGTTTCAGCGGGCATGTACACGCACGCCGGCACACACACAAACACACAAACACACACACACACACAAAGAGGTATGTTTTTGCCATGAAGAGAAACCATTTGCTCATTTTGATGGAGGGCTAAAAGAGAGGTTGAGCCGTCTAAGTGGATTTTTCATTACTAAATGTAATAGGGCAAAGAAAATTACAGGTGCTAGAGCAGGAGGGGTATTAGAGTTATGAATGTACTTTTTGCACTGATATTTGTAATGACCAAAAAGGTACAGTGCTGCTGTATATGAGCATTAGAGAAATTAGCACAGTGCTCTCTCTCTCACACGCATGTGTGCGCGCTGCCCCTCACATCCCAGTCTTCTCCACTCACATGCTATCTGCAATTTGGAAAGGTACGTCCATATTCACCAGGGAATGAAAAAGCTTATTTTATCTCCTGCCTCTGCTCCAGACTGAGACAGAAGTGGAAGACTAACATAATCAAGGAAATAATACTGCAAATGGAAACCTATTAGGGCAGTCGAGCACTTTCTCATGCTGCTTCTGAAATGTCATTTATCATGTGCCACTGCATGACAAACTTTTTTTAGACTCCAAATGTGTAATTTCCTAACAAGACTGTGGAGTCCAGCTTTTCAAGGAACTTCAGACCCACAGTGCACATGAAATACATTTACGAGGAAATGATGAATATAAATGATGATATAAATAAACAAATAATTATCTTCAAAGAAAAGAATCCCTGCTGTAAATGTTTAGTTTGTGTCCTTTGTTTGTCCCCTTCCCTCTCACTGCCTCAACTAAAACGCTATTTTTATATACTGCATATTAGCAGTGGCAGAGGAAGTACTCATTCTTTAATTATGTGAAATGTACTTAAATAAACAGGCAAGTGTGTTATCAGCAAAATATATCTACATTATCTCAAATAAAACTATGTATGCAAACTGGCCCCTTCAGATGTTACACTATTATATATATTGTAATAATATTACATAATATGTAAGCAGCATGACATAAATATATATAAAGCACCACATGATCTTCATTGGCAAATTAAATAGTTTTTAAAATGTCTTTTAATTAAAACCTTATTTTGGCTTTTATTAGTCCTACACTTTTATTAGGCTACATTAGCTACCTGTCAGCCTAATTACCCCTGAAATACATCTATACTGTCCCTAGTGAGGTTTGAGTGCAGCATTACTTCAGCACTCACTGAGATAGCACTCCTCCCTTGGTTTATTTACTCTATCACCCAATATTCATTCCACTTACATGTATGTCTCCCTATGGGTTGCTTCTTTCCCCCTCTGTCACCACCCCTCCATCGTTTCCAGCCTCTTTAGCACATAATATGCTATCGACATGCATAGTGGGGTCCTGATTTAGACGTTCAAACTGATTGTCCCTTAATGAACTGCAACCGGCTACCTGAATGGAAACGCACAACATGGCATAAGACAGTAACATACAGTATATGCATGTGCACAGAGACACAAATGTAAGCACATATACTAACATGCATTCCCTGCAATATCTTTGTTATACATGTAACACTGCTTGCATTGATATTATCGACTGCAAGCCATTTATACTGTGTCATGACAGGCAAAAGCCACATTAATTTAAATGATTGAGATTTTTCATTTAAAGAGATTTCTGAAAGATCAACAAAGCCACTTGCCCTAAAAATACTGCAGGAGTACTTTTAATTATCATTATGAGTGCTTAAACAATGGTGTATTTAATAAAACTATTACAAACCAAATGAAAAACAGTGCACCAGAGCAGCAGTCTCGATTCTCTGGGCATTCATCTCATCCTGAGGAATGCATTAATCACTTGATAAAAAGAAATGGGAAGTTGAAATTTGTAGTGAGGTCTTACTTCACATTTTTAAGTTAAAGATGGTGAAAGAAAATTATAAAATCTTCAGATCAATTTTATTTCAAATAACATTAACACAGGTAAAGCATCACATATGTGGTACATGTACTAATCAGACAAAAACATAGATGAGGCTCTACAATGAACAGAAATAAATGAAGCTTGTGGCCGCTCCCCCAGCCCCCAATTGGATGTTTAATGCTAGATTTTTTACATAAACAATTGATAGAAATCCAATACAGAATCAGTAATAGATTTGACTTATTTAATTTGTTGACAGTGGGTTACAAACAGAAACGAGCTCTTATAATAGATGAATGAAATCCTCTGATGACAGAATGTCAGTTACATATAGCAGATGGGGCGCATTGCAGCACACTGCTTACTAATCATCAAACATACAGTTGACACATTTTGCTTTCCAAATCCAAAGCAGAAGGGCAAGTTGGTCACTAATCCTAAAATAAATGTATGTGTCATTAAACGAAGGGAAAATTTTAAGGCAAAGCTGGTGTGTAGTTTTCTATTTTCCCCAGTTTTGTCATCTCTGCTTAAAGGCAATATAATTCTCTGCTGCCTGTAATTTTCTCATTATTGCCTAGTTCCATTCATCCTCTCCTCTGTGTTTATTTTCTCCTGTCTCTCGCCCTCTGCTCCAGCTCCTGGAGGACTTTCTCACTGACAGGATCTGCTTTAGTCACCACAGCTTTCCTGCCCTCTGGTTCGACCACGATGGTCATAACACAGCACATGTCCACCAGCTCTTCTTGACATCTCCTCATCCCAGCATCCAGCTCACCTCTTCGAACTGGGTCACGTTTCAGAGCTCCCTTCTCTGCCACAGAGAAGCCCAGCAGGCCCGTCAAAACCTCATTGGATAACTCCACATCAAGATAACCAGTTCCATCAGATATCGTAGCACAGACACGCCAAACACCGTTGCTGCTGCTCAGTTTCCCCAGGAGAGTCACAATGAACGCTTTGACATGGATCTCTGTGGTGTGGGGGTGTGGTTTGGACATCAGCTCTTCTAGCAAGCACAAGTATGTAAAGGGCGGTGAGGTCAGAGTGACAGCAGGGACTGTGCCGTCACCCTGTAGAACTTTGTTAACAGATGGCCTGTCAGATTCCCTAGTGGTTGAGGAGAAACTTTGCCCCTGAGGTGTGTTGCGTGAACTCTCAAATGCAGGCTCTGCCTTAACAGGAATCCTGTCTGTTTCACTTCTTGATGGTTCACTGGCGAGTCTATAAGTGGAGTCTGATATTTCTGTTGTTGGCCCTCCAGTTCTCCCAGTTTGCTCTCCACATGTTTGTACCTCTTCAAAAAAACAATCCATGTCCTCATCCGGAAAATCACTCTCATTGTTAGAAACAACTTCTAACTCATGTGATGGCACTGTAGCAGCTGGGGAAAAGAAAGGTGTGGAAGTCACTGTGGCTGACTGCCCCACAGCTCCTCTAATACAGCCTTGAGAGCCTCTTTTCTGTGTGGTGGATCTGGAGTTGCTACAACCAAGCTGTGACCCATTTAAATAGTGCTGCTCAAACTGAGCAGTTTTTGTTGCTCTGTCAAAACTGCTGTGATTTCCTGTTATTCTGTTGCTATTCTGTGGTGTGCTTCTGTGACTGCTGTCAGACTGCATAGTAACGTTTGTGCTTTCCTGAAAAATCACTCCGTCCAACTCATCCAGGGGAAGATCATCAAAGCCTTCGTTTGCCACGCTGTGATGTTGAATCTCTTGTTGAATCATGTGGTCAGAGAGCTCAGTGTCTTGTTCATTTGCATGGTACTGACCGTGAGATGAACCACCTCTGCTGCTCTGGGTCAAACCACTTCTATAAGAGTGGGTGGAGGCTTTGCTTCTGTAAGACACCAGCCAGAGTTTGTAAATCTAGTGTTTTAACAGCATCAATAGGCTTTATATTCCAGGAGAAATGCTAGATTCAAATATGGTTGTACAGCCCTGAACAATCAAGAGCACACATTTTAGCAACTTTTTGAAAGACGTAAAAACTCTAATGCTTCACAGAATAAAGGGAACTAAGAAAGTTTTATATCATATATTACTGTAAGCTGTCATATTCTTGGTTAGATAACATGTCCAGTGCACTTCAAATTAAATGAAGCACAGTTTTTCTTAATACACACTGATGTTGCATTATTAGTATCCTTAATTAAAATTGATGGCTGTCACTGGCTGCAAATAAAAAACAGCAACATTTACAAAACATTATATAAAATACCTTTGCAGAATTAGAAAGCTGTAGAATTAAAGTGCTAAATGTTTCCTAAAGTAGCTGAAAGATAAATGCTGACATTTTTTCCGAAGACAAACACTACGCTAAAATTCAAAATGTCAAGGTATATTTGCCCAGCAGTGAAAACTGAGGAGTTTCAACATTAAAATGTCAAGACATCATATTGTTAACCACCCACCTTGCTGAGGGAGCCAAGCCGAGCCTTCTGACAGAGGAGCTTCTCGAGGACTGAGCGGAGGTGTCACTGAGTGTCCTGTAGCCACTGTCTTGAACAGATGCAACCTGAACCCTTCCCACTTCCTGGTCCTCCAGACTAGCTAACAACTCTGCATCATCTAGCTCTAAGTCCTGCACTTCCTGGTTACCTAAAGAGGAAACAAACTCTTTTACATATTCTCTGGTGGTCACCCAGAATTCATAGAATCTTTCCTTTCTTACAACGCTGACAGATTACCACATCCTTTAAACTGCTATGGTGTTACATGGTACATATGTATAGCATCAACAAGCTTTTGGGGTTTTCCATCATAGGAACCTATGAAACACATTGAGCTATTATAACACACATCACAGGTTCTGTGTTTGTTTCCACTGCCCTCTGCCCTCTTTGGAGGTGCATTCAGGGAGCTACTGTAAATTTCAGCACTCCTCAGGAGGTAGTACAAAAATCTAATTTTCGGGAATGCGAGGGAAGAGACCGTGCATGTGCACGGAGCTGTCACTGGTGATTGGTTAAATGTCAGCATCTTCACACATCAAATATCAGCATTAAAAGCGGATTGTGTAAATACACTCGCCAGTTTAGAGGTGAAAGGAGGACTTCAGCAAGCTAGTTGTGGGTAAAGTGTTGCAGATGTCACAAGTCTGTGCTCTGTTTGTTCAACAGCTGTTTGATAAACTGCTCATACAGTCTCTGTTACTGGCTGATTGCTGCACTATGAAGTAATACTTCACATCCTCTGTTCTCTCTGCTCTGCTGTGAGAGTGTGTGTGAGAGACAAGTGCAGCCCCTCCCTTCTCTAAAACAGATCGACACAGCAAAAACTACAGTGGAAAAGCAAAGCAGGACAGTCCACATCAACCCCTGCGGTTATGCTGGGTGATGTACTGCTTGTTAGGCTCCGACAGTGGAAACACAGCTTTTGTGGTTCATGACCTACCATTAAAGATACACAAGCCTGAATGACTATACCTTGTTGCAGTGCTGGTGGGGCCTCCTCTCTTTCCTGCTGCTCCTCGTCCTCAGGAAGCCCCAGTGTCCGACACAGCACCCTACCCTGTCAGAGTAGTGTACCATAACTATAAATACCATAACCATACCATAACGCAGCCATACTACCTTGAAATATTCTCAATGGAGCTTTACATTTACCAGAAACAGATTTTGACCAGTGATGAATTCTAAATATAAAATCACACTAGTAGAAACCTGTTTTTGACAGAAAACACAGACCATCAGTTTACCTGGTCATTCCTCTCCACCAGGTCTTCCACCTCGCCGCCCAGAACCTTGATGTTGGTCGGCCCCAACAGCAGCACCCCGAGTCTGCAATCCATCTGCCCTTGTAACTGCAACTTTACACCAGGCCTGGAAGAGTCAACCACATTTTAGATAAGATATAGCTGGCAGAACATCTCTTATGTTTGTTAATAAGAAACTGGCAGTGAAATACACGTGTTATAAACTTAAGAGGCGCTGTGGCTGAAAGATGCATATGTTCTACTACATTTTAGGAAGCCATGGTTCCTCTATCGACATAGCAGTAAAACAGCTTCACAGTTCAACTGTTTAATACATCAGTTCTTAACCTGAGTGCTGTACTAAGTGCAGGGATAGGCCGGTACTCCATGGCCTCCAAACTCTGAACTCCATCTGTCACCTGGAAACAGACAGTATGTTTGAACAAAAACAAACGAACAGAGAAATGATTGGGATTTAAATTCTCAACAAAATTGCTGCCCTAACCTCGTTTCTCAAAAAAAGAAATGCACAAATTAAAACTGACAATTCTATACATTTTTACCTGTGACCTGCAGCTACTGTAATACTGTATACAGTATATATGTCAAACTGTAAGTTTTTTAGCTAAACTTCAAAAAATGTAACTGCTGGCTTAAATGTAAAATGACAGAATTTGGAAATTCTTGTCTCTTTCTGTGTTGATGTGCTAGCTCACCCAGACTTTACAATGTGCAAAGCTGATTTGATTTATTACCCTGTCATGGGTTTTTATATCTTATGACTTTTAGAACAGCAGGGTTTGCTCAGAATGGTCTGAGAAACTGTGAAAAAATGAAAAAAGTCAATGCAATGTTTCTAAGCAACACCAGCACTATTCTTGAAAATCCATAGAGTAGTGACAAGTGTATTACTGAAGGAGAAAATTACAGCCTGCACCTTATATTCCATCAATTTACTCTTTCATATGCTCTCACTGATTGTGTCCATCCACTCTGGTTCAGTTAGTTAGTTTGTTTTGAAAATTAATGTTGTGTTTATCTATTGTCACAGTTCTCAAACTGCCTTAGCTGAGAGACAGAGGACACATATAGCCCCTGGTTTTTTTTTTTAAGGTTAGTGCCACTTTGTGATCCACTGAGGGACTGATTTCAGAAGTACTGTACAACATCAAAATTCTACATACTTTACTTCATGAATGCCTCTGACCTGCATTAGTAGCATACGGGTTGGTCTGGTCTCCCAGGGCCTCTGGGTGGTCTGTGTGACAGCAGACACCTCATCGTTGGCACAGTCTGTGCCCCTCCACTTCTGCAGCTGACCATAGGCAGGCCGACTGACGTCCAGTATTGAGTCAACCTAAAACAGACTGAGACCTTAGATTCTATTGCCGTTTCTCTGCATATTAATTTGTTGACTATCTAGTGAAATATTTGCCACTGCAGTCTTATTACAGTATAATACTGTACTGAACTGCTATTTGTGAGTGGGAGACACATCTTATGATTGATTTCCATCATTGCACATTCTGAAACTAGCTAACATTTAATTACTGTCTCAGGGTTTTCAGCTGGGTTTCCATTATCCAGCCACAGGAAAACTGGGATCCAGTGGTGCTTTCTTATGATATGGCTTGTAATTGTACAGTGATCTTTTTTCCTTATATAACACAATAGCCTTATTTTTGCTACAACAGCTTGCTGTGTGATTTTGTCTATTTTGTGTATAATTGGCATGTTGGATTGTTGGAATCTGTATCGCACAAAAGAAGATACCAACTGTGAAAAGGTACAGTATATAGGTAATATCTAGGCTGCTATAATGTTAAGCAAAAATTGCTTTTGACCTAATACAACAGAACAAACAGTGTACACTTCATAGAACAAAACATGAAAACATATTGGCCTCGTGTTACCTACAGACCTTATTCCAGGCGTATAACCAAAAACCCTTTCAAAAAGCTCACTTTGCCTCATGGGAAAGGAACAGGAAGTACAAAAATACTAACTCAGTTCCGGGTTTTAGGACTCACTACTACGGCACTCTATATAAATTTATAATAACAAAGATGATAATGGATATACTATAGAATAACGTGTCTCCTCTCTCCCTGTACCGTTCTGCAGGTAGCCCTGGTTCTGAAGTTGCATGTTTCTGATGAGCAGTCACCGGCCACATCAACCTGCCCAGTACTTGATTGTTTGCTACTGTTTGTTGTGTCTTGTTGCTTTCTTTTCTTTTGTCTCTCCTCTATCCACTCACCCCAACCAGTTGAGGCAGAAGGCCACCCACCAAGAGCCCGGGTTAGTAGGAGGTTTCTTAAATTAAAGGGAGTTTTCCCTCCCCACTGTTGCCAAGTGCTTGCTCAAGGGGTATTTGTTGGGTTTTTCCTCTGTAATAATAATAGTAAGGTCTAAACCTTACTATGTAAAGTTTCCTGAGATGACTTTTGTTGTGTTTTGGCGCTATACAAATAAATCTGAATTGACATATACCATCAACAAGCCTGTACCTGGACACAGAAGGTGCCACTGAGATTAGTCTTCTGGGCCTGAGCAAGCCCTTCAGGCAGAACAGGGTAGTCCAGGTCCCTCAAGTCTGTCAACAGCCACTGATCCAGTGCCTAAAATATCATGCCATGTAGTAAAGCACATGAAGATTTAGGCTGCTAACAATTCACAGCAAGTTTATTTTATACAAGAAGAAATATTTTATGACACACTGTGTTCACATCTGTGGCACTACAAAGAATTTGTTACATTCACTTACACAAGATGATACACTACAATTTTGCCATCAGAAAACTTTGAATTATTCAAATAAATCATTCAACAAAGAGACAGAAACATCACAGGGATTTAGTGACTCAGTAGTGTTAAAGTCTATGCAGATTGTGTTTTCTTTTTCAGGATGTGAGTATACTTGCCTACATCATTCAAACAGTGCTCTGAGGTTTAGAACTAGAAACAATGTGGGCCTCTTGAATGAACCCATTTCACATCCATTTTACTGGAACCATCAGCCGATGATTTTTGCTTTGAGGACTAAAGAATTATTTTCATCTAGCAGCTAACTAAAAAAAGACTTTGGTCATAAGGGAACACAGCTGTTCAGCAGCAAAATTTTGGTACGCTGTTGTGTACAAATGATGCGTCAATGCAGAATAAACATACCCCACATGACGCTACCACCAGATGGTACAGCTGACACCAGGCAGGATGAATTCATGCTGTTTACACAAAAATGTTGCTCTGCTATCAGCATGCTGCAGAAGAAACCAGGATTTGTCTGACCAGGAGGTGTTCTTTCACTTTTCAATTGCCTACTGTTGCTGATCATAACCCACTGTGGCATGATCTTTTTGTTCTCAGCTGACATGTGCATCATCTTGGGCTTTTGTTGCTCATCTGTTTTGGGGTTCGATAAGTTGTGCTTTCTGCAAGTTGTGTATTTGTGTAAGATTTGATGATATTTCTCTGCTGGAACCACAGTGTTTGGAGTATATTTTGAGATTACTTGCCATGCCAACTTAAATAAAACAACTTCAAACATGCTCTGAGTTGACACATTGTTTCTCATGTAAGAATATTGGAACTTCCTTCCATACAAAAACAAAAGAAACATATGCCATCTGCTGCATCAAAGAATTATTTAGATCAATCTGGGCTACAGTGGTAAAACTTAAAAACAGGATCACTCCAAAGAGGTAAAGTGGAGTGATGTTTGACACCATATTCAAAGATTAAAAGGCTGCTCATAACTATTATTTCCATTGTCAATTCATCTATGGATATTTTCTTCTGAATTGTTTAGTCAATAAAATATTTTTTAAATAAAAATTGCCTGTCACATGGCCTATATGTCCAAGGTGGCATCTACAAATGTCTTATTTTGCCCACCAAAAATCAAAGATGTTTAATTTTTTAATTATTTAAAACCAAGAAAAGTCACAAATATTTGACAAAGTGGAACAGCACGTATTTGACATTTTTGTTTGATTAAATGGCTGTTTAAATGTTTAAAAATATATTGACATTGTTGCAGATTAATCTGTCTCAGCTCTACACAACAGTAGAACACTAGATACTGTATGTAGGTGAAATGACAAAAGATTGGATGAACACTGCAGAGATCTACTGTCTGTGAAGACTAAACCAATCCCAGTCACAAAAGGGAAGGGGTCAATAGACAGCAAATCACACATGCCAGATGCAAGAAACCAGTTTCCCCTGTCCTATACAAACAGCTGATATCATGTGATCCACACATAAATTGCGTGATAATAACTGAGCTACTGTACAATGACACTTGAACAAACTCCATCTGCTCAGAAAGCTTTCAGTTCACATTTTTTGAAAGTATAGTGCGTAATCCTTTTGCATTCAACTGCACAATTAGACATCATTCTTACCTGTTGGTTGATTTGCTGCTGTGACAGATGACCTGGTCCTCCTGCCTCTTCCTGTAGCCACTCCACACAGGCTTCCAGCCAAGCAAAGGGCACTTGGACATGCCAGGAGGACTGCAGCCAGGTTTGGGTAGCACGTACCACTGCCTGGATCTGAGGGGCCATTTTCTTCTTCTGTGTGTATTTGACCAGGCCCCACTTTCTGCTATAGTCACCACTGTTATCTGCTAGTATACAGGCAAACACAACTGAGGTTTCTGGCAGGTGGTTATTTTGAATCTCCTTAGTTGATTACTGAATTCAATTATGCATAATTAATTCTCCTTATCAGTAATAAGTCTACTTTGAATAACACTTATAAGGTTTTACGTACAGATCAGAGTACTGCAAGGTATCATTATATTCATAAACTGTTTTAATAGGTCTTGCAATGAGAAATTAGTTGCAAACTTCACTTTGTTGCAAGTTTTGCATGCAAGAAATGGTTCAAATACTGTTTGTTTTAATTCATGGCACAACAGAATACCTGAGGAATTGAAGGGGTTTTCTGTGTTAAGGGGTCATCTTCTTTCTGTTATTTCCGTTACCACTTGACACCGAATCTCGTGGTGTTTTATTGACAGTAGAGATTAGACTATTATGATCAAAGAAAATAGGAGAATTCCTTCGTGCAATATTTCTGTGATAATGCCAGCACGGATAAGCACTGTCTCTCTGCAGATGGTCACGTGTAGATACTATGGAGAGAGAAAGAGAAACACGGACGGGAATTTCAGGCGACATAATTAACGTTATATAATCTGGGGGGAAACTGTTAAAAGTTCAGGTAAGCGTAAAAGTTACTTGACATGAATGGAGGCAGTCTCTTACATGACAGGTTGAGAGTCGCAAAGGCGCCAAAGTTGCAAAACCCGTTTAGGAATGTTGATGATACTGTACCTTAGCTTTGTGTCCATACAACATGACCACGAAAGCTCCTATGTACAGAAGCAGTTGTTAAACCTACCTGTAATGTCTATACAAGTTGTTATAAAAGCACAAATTAACGTTAGCTTTGCAGATCATATCTTGTAAACAGGTCTAACATGAACGGCCAACGTAAATTACAGACCAAAAAACTGCATCCGGGGAAGAGGGCGTTCCGCACCGCTTTAGAACCGCCTTCGCTTTGTGATTGACATCTACTCAAGCAATTGTAATTCTTGTCCGTTTGATTTGCTTTCTCTTCAACCAATCAGTACACTGTCACTCAACTAGAACATTTCTATGTTCGGTAGAGGAGGAAGGGAGCGAACGAGCAGTTGTATTACAGGTTAGTGTTTGATGATATATTTTTTCTTTTTCAATACTACAGTGCAGTTGAAGTGCACAGACACAAGAAACATGTATTTAGCAGTTATATCGTTACTTATTTTCTGTCCAGCTCGACGCTGTGTAATGGTAAACGTTAGCTAGCTCAACCGAAAGTCATGGAAACATGGCGAAATTAGCTAGCTAGCCGTTAGCTAGAGTGGCATGAGCGTTTCTTTGTATTTCATCGATTTAGGATGTTCTATCAACCCACACGGGCAGGTTCGGTAACGGATGGCGTTACATTACGTTTGTATATAACCATTAAAGTGTTTCAAAAGTGTACAATATGCATTCCTGAAATTCCTCATTCAAATCTAGCTACACGAAGAATCTCCCTCCAGACTGGCAAGCTACCCCGTGTGGTTGCTAAGTTAGCTTTAATGGCGTTAGCTCACTTTCTATTTGGTCATTATCAGCATATAACTACTCAGTATCTGGCGTCACTTATATGATATGCATGGCTTGAAATTGAGAGTTCGTTGTGCTGTCCCCCGAGTAAGATAGCAGCAAGTTGGGGACAAGTATTAACGCTATTTCGATATGTGACGTTAATTTTCATTAATCACTGGCTGATTAACTCCGCACTTGGTTGACGCGCACTTCCTCCACGCGGAAACATTATAAGACGCCTTTCCGTGTTTCCTTACCCAAAAGATATTAATGTTACGATGTGTAAACTGATCAGATTGTAATGATAACGTTAATTGTGCCATTTTAAATAGTGGTGGTCTTTCATGCTCGTTGGATGGATGCTCATAAACCCAGCTGACATATAGGGCTAAATCTCAATCAGCGATTTAAACATGTGAACGTTAGCGATTAGAGGTGGTGAGTTTTCAATCGTTGCCATCACTGAGTCATTTTCATTTTATATTTCAGTATTTCAACAATTGGCCTGACGGGTCGCAGCAGCTGTTTGGTCCTTGCTTATTTAGTTCCGCCTATCAACACGCCCTCCTCCCCGTAATAAATATCGGGCGAATTCCGCTGTTCAAGCGGTTTTCTCGCCATTTCACGCCAGGTTCCCGAATAACTGTATCTCCAGCACGCAGCCCGACTTGTCTAATTTCCTTTCCCTTTCTTACAATGCTGACAGATTACCACAGTTTACAAGGACCAGTTTTCTGCTTCTCGCTCCCTGCTGCTGCAGACCGTTCTGCTGATCGAGGTGCCCACTCCATCTCTTTCATTGTCAGAAGACCATGGAGACAGAAATTGAACAACAAGATGAGGCTTCGTTCAGCGGCACAGAAACTAATGGTATGAAACCTATTTATTTTTGGACAGGTTTGACATTATCCATATCTACAGTATATATGTCTTATATAATGAAATGATTGCAATAGCAGTGTTGTTGTAGATGATTAGTTACAGCTCTGATATGAGAAATGAGTGCAGTTTTATCTATTATCAAAATAATCGTAATCGTTTTAGTTTGATGTCCAAAACTATCTATGCAAGAGTAGGGGACCTTGGCCATTAAAAAAAAAAAAAAAAAAAATCGTTTTGTCTTTTACAGTGATCTCTGTAATATGCTTATCAAATATGTCTCCTATGATTTTGTGCTTTATTCTTTCTATGGTCTTTTAGATTATTTATTTTTATACTGTGTAAAGTTGTTTATACATGGTTGTTAGTGTGTGTTTCTATTTTTTTATGCCAGGTAAGCGCCCTGCTGAGGATGCAGATGAGCAGAAATCATTCAAGCGTTCCAGGAACTCAGACGAGATGGTCGAGCTGCGCATCCTCCTGCAGAGCAAAGTAAATAAGCTCTCTTTGCATTTCACGTTTCGTATGGAATCCTTGAATGTTTATTTGTACTTTTTTCGATTCTTTTGGGCACCCCTTGAGTAGGACTGGCATTTTTCTTGTACTTCTTCCTTTTGTTTTTTTATGGTTTTCTTTTTGCTGCCCCGATCACATCTCTGCCTTTTGAATAATTGATTTCTTTTCTCTGTTAGTGGTATTCATACAGTCATGGTGCCTCTTGACATAAACTGTAGTATTCTCTTACATGTTAATTTTTCATTTATTTGTTGTAATTTGGATATATGGATTGGGTATTTTATTAAATCAGCACGGGGAAACTCTTGTGTTACAGTAGCTCACAGAGGATGTCTTTCAGGTTGTTGTATTATTGTATTCTCAGAATGCAGGAGCTGTAATTGGGAAGGGTGGAAAAAACATCAAAGCCCTTCGTACAGACGTGAGTACATCTATTTTATATACCCTGCATTTTTATTTTGCTGAGTTTTTATTTTGTATTTTATTTTTCCTCCATTGATGTTCAGCCTCTTAAAACTACCCAGCCTCCCCCCTGAGAACAGCAGTTCTTTTTTTATTTTTTATTTTAACATTTACCCTGCATAACTGATAAAAATCAAATTTTGGTATTTGGCAATGTTTTCTTCTGTGGTTATCTGATGCCTGTGTTGCTATTAGCCTTCTTTTCATGAGATCTTACAAGCCCTTTGGGGTGGTTTTATCTTTTTCTTCTCACATGAACATTATGTGATTACCTCAGCTAAACTGGCCCTTGGCACTGAAGTCTAATTTCATGGCCATTTGTTTTTCCATAATGACAGTTTATTGTAACAGTGCTGTTGTAGCAACACTGATGCCCCTGTTAATTTAAAGTTATGGGCACAGTGTGGTGTTCACGAGATCACCTACAGTGCCAGTTATTTTTTTTTTCCAATGTTAAGGCAACCTGGCAAATTGTTAATTCATTCAATGTCATTGCCTCTTTCTGTAGCCCTCCAAATTTGTTCTACCCCTTTTACTGTCTCTGGTCTATTCCCCAGTATTAAACTCTTCATGTTGTTAATATGCCATTACCCATTTTCCAGTGTCACCTTTTCTCTCTTTGACAAACCAATCTCTGAGAGAATCAAATTAAAGTCACATTTGAACAGTGTAGAGCCTGTATATTAAAAATGTATTCCTCTTCCCTCTTCCCTCTCCCTTGTTTATTATTTTACTGTTGACTTTTTTGCCCACTCCTCCTCTGTTGCCCATGTTCTGGATGGCCCCTCCTGCGCCCGCCCACCTGACACCCTGGTTGGCCCTGCCCATAATCGTGCCCTGTCCCTAAATGGGCGCCTTACTTGATTGACATCTGTGCTCGAATGGCCCTGGCCCCTGCCCATGCCACGCCCAGTACAATGCCAGTGTGTCAGTCCCAGACAGCAGTGGGCCTGAGCGGTATGTCCCTAAGCTCCTCCCTCTCACTGCCTGACTTCAGGTCAAACAAACAACAAGAGATGAATAATAAATAGTCATCCTGCCTCTGTCAAGTCGCTGTGTGTTAACCTACCTGTTCTCACAGTATTTTAGCCTGAATCAAATGCCTAAATGCGTTCATGTCCAAATCTGCCTGTTGAGCCTGTAAAAGCCATGTCAGCATCCTTTATATGCCATTTTTAAAGTCTTGTCAACATTGGAACTTAGGCTGGTGTTATCAGGGTTTTTCCACAATCTGCCACTGTCTTTTTTTAATCTTTGCTATAATCTGTGCAGTATGTTGTTTTTTTTTTAATTTTTTTATTTTCATTGGTGATTATCTCTCTTTATCTTTCGCGTTTTCACCCCACCCCCCAGAGTGGATATACTGGTGTTCTTCTGTTTTTAGTTTCATAAGCTCACCTGCTTCTCGCACCATCCCATTTTTTTTCCTTGTGATGCCCTCATTATTGATAGGCTTCAATTGCCCATCCATTCTGAAATGCAAAAGGCTAGCTACGATTCAAGTGGTGTATGTTTGTTTTTTCCCTTTCCTGTCTTCTGCTTCATCTGAATGTGGTTGACTGTTGTAGCTGTTGATAGTACAAGTTATCTCTCTCTCTGCCCCACTCATCTCTGCATTCTTTGGTTTTATATTTATTGCTTTTCCCATCCCCTTAAAAATCATCAATTCCTGGTGGTAAACATTTCTCATGGTATAGTCTGCTCTGTTACTCTTCCTCAGCTGTCTACCATTCTACTCCATGTGCAAACTGTACTTAAGTTTTCTTAAACAGTAAACTCATTGTTTATTATGTAAAGGTGGGTGCAGACAACAAAATTATTTACAATTTGTTGGCAAAATTAATCATAAACAGGGTCCAGGCCAAATTTTTAAAACTGGATGCTATGCAAATAATAACAATGGGAGAGAGGATTAATTTTTTTTTATTTCACCTTGTAAGGGGTCTGTAGTAAAAGTGTTTGTGGTGTGCATCCACCAAACTATGACCCAGGACTTTAGATTTCTCTCTGGCACCACTGGTGCCTATTTCTGCCAGGTCCTCCTCAAACTACACCCTTCCCGTCTTGCCCCTGCAATGGTCACCAAATGCAGTCACTTTTCTTTGGGTCCCTTTTTTTTTTATTTTTGTCTCTCTTCTTCTTTTCTCTTGACAAGACTGTTTTCTTTTCATTGCATTGTTTGGGTACCAGCTATTTGCCAGTTACAGTGTTGATTTATCATTTGAACTAGCATGTAAAGTTAATAAAACACCGGACCTCAACAGTTCATTTAGGCTCAGTAGCAAGTTGGTTAAATGGGATTTGACTGTTTTTCTATGACAACAAAGGGGATGTCATGAATGTTCTGATCTGAAATGTTGTTCCCTCCCTGCTTGGATGCCTTCCTGGCACCCCCAACTCCACCCTTTGTGTGTGGCTATGCTCTTCTTTGTCACTGATGGGTGAAATATGAAGCATCCTGAGCATCAGTGCTGACATCGAGACAGTTGGAGAAATCCTGCTCAAGATTATCCCAACACTGGAAGAGGTGCGAACCTTTGGAACTTATTTTATTTCTTTTCAAGTCCAGCTGAACACAGTGACCTTAAATTTTGACAGTTATTACCAAACTGGAAATGCCCAATGTATTCTAGAGATAATTAGTGTCAAGTTAAAGTTTATGTGCTTGCTTTTTTTGTTCACTAGCTGCTTTGCAGTTTGGGTATTTTTACATGACAGTAAGCAGTTTGGATAGGTTAAACTTGTGTCTGCACTCTGTCTTTTGATGGAAAAATATAGCTATAAGAAACATTCAAACTGAGATTAAAAACATGTAAGTTTTTTTTATCACCCTTAGAATGTATGACACCCATTATTTGAAGTATGGTAATATGTTGGTAATATTGTCTTTATATGTTTTTGCCACTATTTTTGCCAGAATTAGAAGAAACGTAAGTTTCTTGACAGGTTTGAGTCTTTCAGATAACTAAATTTATTGTATGCTAAATGTCTCCTTTCAGTACCAGCAGTACAATGGTATGGATTTTGACTGTGAGCTCCGTCTGCTGATCCACCAGAGCCTGGCTGGCTCAATCATCGGGGTAAAGGGAGCCAAGATCAAGGAACTCCGGGAGGTATGTTGATACAAGGGGTAGGGATCAGTGTTTTAGCAATTAAGTAGGCTGCAAAGCTGTTTACACATTAAATTGTTTGAGTAATTTACAGCATTCATTCTCACACTTCACTGCCAATGTTTCAGTTCTAACAAAATATACTTGTTTCTTGTTAATGTTATGTTATTTTTGTTTGTTACTTAATTGATCTTTTTTTTTTTTTTTTTTTTTTTTTTACTGTTGTTTTCTTCTGGCTCAGTCTTCCTCATCTTACCACACAGTACCCCAAAGATTTGGAAATACTCATATGACATAGTTGTGATTTGATGAGCTTGTTATACTTTTTTTTGTTTGGTTTGGTTTTTTTAGCAGCTGCTGCATCATGTAGTGGTTTTTCCCTTTTTCTGTGCCTGCTCATATGTGCCTGTCTGTCTCCAGAACACAAAGACCAGCATCAAGCTGTTTCAAGAGTGTTGTCCGCAGTCGACAGACCGGGTGGTGCTGGTTGGTGGTAAAACAGAGAGGGTGGTAGAGTGTATCAAAACTATGCTGGAGCTTATCGCTGAGGTAAGAATCTTTTAGTGTTCGCAAGGTGTTTTTTGGGCTGTCAGCCTCATTGCAGTGTGTTAAAACCAACACACTTTGGGGGGGGTTTGGGGATTATCTTGAGCAGATCACTACATCTTGTTCTGTCCTCCTTTTTAGGCTCCCATAAAGGGCCGTGCACAACCCTACGACCCTAATTTCTATGATGAAACCTATGAATATGGTGGTTTTACAATGATGTTTGAAGAGAGGGGTAACAGCCGCAGGCTTATGGGAGGGTTCCCAATGCGCAGTGGCAGGTCCAGCGGTGGAGACCGTGGGTTTGACCGAATGCCCTCTAGCAGAGTGGGACGGGGACCCATGCCCCCCTCCCGTCGAGACTATGATGAGATGAGCCCCCGCCGAGGTCCTCCTCCACCCCACCCAAGTAGGGTTGGTAGAGGGAGTACCCGTGGACGCAGCATGCCTATGGGACATCCGCACAGAGGAGGGTAAGAGATGTACATAAACAACTTTAACAAGCTCTTCTGGTTTGCTTTTTCTTGTATTCATGCACAAATATGAGTCCTCTCACAAGGTGTGGCCACTTAATTGAGCTTGCTGGTGTTTGTGTTTAGCTTTTTCCCCTAAAACAAGTCTTACATTACAGTGAGCATGTTGTAATACAGAGTAAATCTTGTAAACATTCTTTGTTTTACTGGACACTACAGTGCCAAGTGGCTGCATGATTCCACTCATCAGATTGAAGTTGAGAGTCCTTTAGCTTTTAAGTGCTGGATCTTTTAAATGTACTAGGTTCTGTTCAGTGCTAGAGTCCCTCTTCTAGAACACATGCTTATTTTTCCATCTGCATATACAAAGCTTAATCCCTCTTCAGGTGCTTATTTTCCCATTCAGGTGCATTCTGTTCACAGATTCAACAGACTTGCTTTACGTTGTCTAATTCATAGGATACACTGAGTCACCAGTGTCACACCCTGCACCTCTCTGCAAACATTTTGTAATCATTGTTATCATTCCATAAATTTGTCTGCTCATCACTGTTTGTCTGGGTGTGTTTGTGTGTCTTTTTCCCATCTCCATTTTGCCCACAGAGATGATCGTTACTATGACTCGTACCGTGGCTCAGATGACAGGTCAAAGTAAGTTCCTGTCCCCAAACCTCTGCCTTAACCTCTTCTCTTAGCCTAACAGGGATACTTTGACATTCCATTAATTTAATAGGTACTGAAGGTAGCTGTTATGTAGTGAATATTTACTGAAGCAAATATTCCTCATTAATACCAATGGGTGTTGCTTCCTGTAGAGTTGTGTGTTACCCTTTGGTCTTCACGAGGAATATGGTACTAGCTCTGACAAGTGTTCAGCACAGTTTTCATATGTAACTAGTGATTGGCCATGATGGAGTCAAAGTGTTGAGGTATCCCTACATTTTTTTTTTCCCTCTGCCTTACTGCTGCAATTCTTGCCTGGTTTTCCAGTTCTTCTCATAGCTCGTGAGAAAATAACACTTTTTGTAAACTTTTGCCTTCCTGTCATATCCTTAACACAGTATCAATGGCCACCTTACAGTCATCCATTGCTCTACTGTCTGTTTGCCTGATGTGCCCTAACCTGCATATGTCCCTTACCCTGAACTTCATACATCTGTTAACATTATTTGAAGTGCTTTGTAGGGAACTGCGGTAATGTTGTATGACATCCTCTTTCCTGTGTTAATAACCCATTAAAGTTGCTGTTCACTCCCAGTATTTCCTAGTTTGAGGGAATGTCTATGTGGTGGTGTGTATGAGGGTCATATGCTGATGTAAAGATGACATTTTGTCACTTCAGTCCCCTGCAAAACAACACACATCTACAAGTTTGAGTTTTAATTAGAGAAATAACTTTTCTAATATATACAGTTGCACCTGAACATTCTGGCAGACCTTTACATTACAGTCTCATGAATCTTAGGTTCTGGAGTTGTGTTGACCACATAATTTCATATTCTGCTCTTTCTGGACAGCTGTTCTTGGTCTTATCTGTCACCACTAGACACACCAACAGTGGTGGTGGTTAGTCTGTGCTGGTCACTGTGCTTTGCAGAGTGGCATGGAGTAGTAGTGGTTTGATTAGATTTTTTTTTTTAAATGTGTTAATCTCAATGGGTGCAGGGCTACAAAGCCAGGTCTTGTTTCACAGTGAATAATAGCTGTCACTGTCAGCTTTTTGAAACTATGTGTTAGTTTGCTCATTTTAAGTTCAGGTTCATCCAGCCCTCTGAAAGGAGAAAATGACACATGCAAGATCTTCTTGGTTGTGAAATTATATTTTGTTGGCTGTTCAGATACATTCTAAAATGTAATCTCTGCCCTCCCAAAACTAGGAGGATGGCATGCCCTGTCTCAATTATTGTCAGCTGTCCACATCTGGGTTGTATTAGTACCAATGAAACTCAGAAATATGGGTGCTACTTGTAGAAAATAAGATCCTTGTTATGATGAATTCATTTTTGATATTTTTCTTTATTAGTCATCATAGTTAAAGACATCAAACAGTGTGTGGATAGAGACACAAGCAAATTCTTGTTTATTTAAGGCTGTAGTCTGACATGATATTAATATTAGCGCATGTATGTTCCTTACCAAGAGTAAACCCTAACAAATTTCTTCAGCTAATTTCTTTATCCAAGCTCAGTTCTGGGGAAGAAGCAGCAGCCTTTGGCTCTGATAATCATCACCACCACCTGTCACTCCTCTCACCATAACACTGTCAGAGCTGTTCCTGTTACTGTGTGGGAAGATGGCTGAGAGGAAATGTGTTTATACTGTAATCTTGCTCAGCGTGTGTGTGCAGTTTGACCTAGACCAGAAATTTTCTTTGGAATGTTGTCAATAATTTTTTCTAAGAATTTTCTATTTCTTCCCACCCACATCTCTCTCTCCCCCATCCCTACCCATGTCCTTTCTTTTGTGGCACTCTTTCATCATCAGTGACAGAAGAGGCAGACCGGATCGCTATAGCGATAACATGGTTAGTGACCCTATATCAAATGCATGAAACGCTGATACTAGGTTCTCATTTGGTGCTAGCATTCTGGTTGATCTTCGCACTAGACAATATGCTGTGGTTTGTTGTCATGATAATAGTGTTTTATTGACAATACAAACATAGCTGGTCACTCATGCACATACTCATTTAAGCACTGGCTATGCATCCAAACTAGTTTTTGCATGGTGTAAACCATCCCATCAAATGACCATAATCACCACACCCGGAGACACCCCATAATAATCAGCTATAATTGCCCTCTTACTGTGTACTTTTCATGGTCAGCCCATTTTCCCTGTAAAGAGAGGGAGGATGGTGGGGGGTGGGGAGGGTTGGGGTCGTTGCTCAGCAACAGCTTTTTGAATTGCCTGTTGCCCTGGTGACAGCAGCAGCTGAATAGCAGGTGAAAATGGGGGTTGATGGAGATGCAAGGAGAAATGGGAAGGAGGGAGGAAGGGAAGGAAGGAGGAGGAGTCTGGCTTATGTATGAAAACTGGGTGGTTAGTTGAATCTACTCCATGGATGAGGCTGCTGCAACGTTCATACATATATGCTCACAACACTCTGTCCATTCACCTGGGATCTGTAGAAAGATGAAGGGAATCAGCTGTTCTGTATGTAATCTCTCTCTGTGTCTGGTTATTTCAGAGTGGAGGAGGATATGGTAAGTGATAAACCTCTTGTGCTTTTTGTGGCATTATATGGATTTGGTTTCAAGGCCATTAATGTACGTCTCTTAACGTGTCAGAGTAGTGGCCTCAGTACTCATGGCACAACATGCAGTGTTAATCATTTGGTCTGAATGTAATCTTAGACACAATAAAATCTGTACAGTAGCACAATGAAAGGACCATTAGTTTGCAACAGTATTGTGCTTTCTGTTGAAACTGCAGTGGAGCGTCATTTTACTTAAATATGTTTACAACAAATATTGAAGATGGCATGCAGATATAATTACATCATCCAGGAGTTTTCTTCAGAAGATCTCTTGAATATGTCTGATCAGTCACATTTTTGAGTTTTGTATTGAGATTAGAAGTTTTGAATATTTGTTCACAAATTTCACAGAAATACGTTGTCATGTTCTTTCTTTCTTTCTCTCATATCAGACAACAGCTCCTCCTGGGATAGCTACCAGTCAGGTGAGTCTCAACACTTTTATTAGTCCATTTAGGAAAAGTTGCTGAGCCATTGGTAACATTGGACACAAAGTATAGATTTTTGGTGCTGTGCTTAAGGTCCCTGTATGTCTGCCTTCTTTTCTGTTTACTGTCTGTGTTGGTCTTCCTCTCCCGTCCCTGTTGCTGTCAGGTGGACGAGGCTCCTATAATGACATGGGTGGCCCTGTCATCACTACACAAGTGACGATCCCTAAAGATGTAAGTAAACGGCAGGAATGAAACATACAACCTGGCAATCCCAATAATGTTCTATTCTCTTTACCCACTATACCTTTGAGACAGTTTATTGGATAGCCCAGACTGAGTCTGTGATTATATATGATCTTTTCATCTACAGGTTTTCTCATAAATGACATTTAGTTGTGTGCATGTTATCTTCTACTATTTGTGCAGCAGATACGTTACTGGTCCTGTATTCCTGTTGTAGGGACCAATAACTTTTGATGTCTCCCACACATTTTTTTCCACATGCACCCACACTAGACAAAATAATAGTAGTCTTACAGTGAAAACAACAAAAATCATCTGAGAAGTGTTATTATTAACAGTCTTTAACACAGTGTTAAAACACCTAAAATACTTAATTTTGTTTTGTCCTGGTTTTGTTCTTAATTTTCTGACTTCCATATTTTGAAGCTATACACATGTATTCAAGTGCCTAAAATACTACTTTGCCTGCCTGTTTTGTTCTTTCTCCCCCCCACTCCTCATTCCTTCCTTGCTACTTCACTGACAGCTCGCTGGCTCCATCATTGGTAAGGGAGGCCAGCGCATCAAACAGATCCGCCACGAGTCTGGAGCCTCCATCAAGATCGATGAGCCTCTTGAAGGTTCTGAGGATCGAATAATCACCATAACTGGCACCCAGGATCAGATCCAGAATGCCCAGTACCTTCTACAGAACAGGTAAGTTGTTTAATTTCACTGACTTTCGTCTTACCAAATGTAGAAATTCTTCAGTGAGCAACCTAGTTGTAGTTTAACCTCCCCCCCCCCCAAACGCTCCCCACCAACCCAAGTGGCT